AAACCTGCAAAATCAGCAAGGGGTCAAATACTTATTTCCCCCACTGTCACTACCTGTCTATGGTTTTATGAAGATCCTGGGTTTTCCTGTTCTATGCGCCAACGATTTGTAGAATAAGAGACATGCTGTGGTTAAACTAAACTCAACAGCGCCCTCTGGAGGACACATCTGGGATATACCGAGAGCTTTAGCTTTTTTCATACGGAGTCAAACCCCTGTAGCATGACAATCCCCTCCTGTTGTTTCTGGATGATGAAGACAAACATGAAGGAGATGATGAAGCTGCTTACAGTGCGTGAGGCAAAGGAAAAGCCACGGGGGATTTTATTCAATATCTTTTCCTTTAAAAGAAGCATCTGTATTCCGGTTTGGGCTCAGCCCTTTCGTACCAAACCCGACTGGGTCGTACCAAAATAATTTACCAGACAGCTAAAGCTGCCCTTTCTACAACAACTGTAAGATAAGCTCTCCCGCTGGCAGCCGTAATGATTGAAACGGCTATTGGATTCATAAAGCGTGACTCAGCTTGCTCTACCTTTCCCTCAAATTAGGACATCGCTATTGTGACCGTCTGCTGTACAAACCCAGTCAATTTCTCACATGGTCGAGCCTCTGCCAGACTCCTCCATCTTCTTTTATTAAAACGTGTATCCAAGTTTATTTCCAGGGCTTCTTTTCCTGACGTTTTTCTCCGTTGAATGTCAGATAATTAAGGTATTAGATGAAGGAAAAAGAAGTCAATCAGGCCTCCACGGATATGTCTATGAAACACTGTTTTCAGAAGTTAACTCGTGTTTAGCAGAAGTTCCTGTTGGATTATTATTTTTTACATTTGAATTATTTGTGTTTGTTCAAACTTGAAATAATGCAATATCTCCTGTTACTCTTGTGTTTAAGGTTTTTAACCTGAATGACCCCTTCACCAATCAAACCAAGAAAACAAATTCCAAATAAAAACAAAAAGGGGAAATCCTTGTTCTGAGTTGTTCCTTTTGCCGACTGGCCTCTTTCAAGTGGGGCATTACTGAGGGAAAAGTCTAAATCACAACAAAATTTCACAATGTTGTTTTAGATTAAATCAAATATTAACTCATTGACTGCCAGCCATTTTCAGAACAGAGTCCCATACTGCCAGAGTTTTTTGAGCATTTTGACTGATTTTTCCAGAGCCACAGAATAGTTTGTGCTATGACTATGTAAACACCGAACACACCAAAAGAAAGAGTAGACTCTCTTCTTTCATCAGGAAAAACAAAATTGTTTCTACCTTATTCTGTTCTTCCTGGACTTGCGTCTCACCGGCGACATGTTCTCTCATAGCGAACCGTTAGCTTTTTCTTATTTGCCTACAGTCTATGCTCATCTCCCATCAAAAGTGGCACTGCCCCCTAGAGGGTCAATTTGTTACTACATACTCTGTCTAGAAGCCGATATTTACGGACAAGCTTTAGCAGATCGTCCCCCAGACACTCTCGTTGAAAAACATAAAAGACGTCTATAGACGTCTTTGGCAGCCAATGAGTTAAAGAATATACAAAACAAAAAAAGGACTAAAGACAGAGCTCACTAACAGACTTCAGAGCTGGAACAGAGACCTGACAGTGAATCTGGAGGCTGTTTGAGGCTTTTAAAGATAAGATAGATGAGCCGAAACACGAATATGAGCTGCTGGTGAAACCGCAGATGGACCGGTGACGTTTGAAGCTGCACTGGACTTTTATCTGTGCGGAGGACATCTTGATAAAAGCCAATTTGCGGTGCAGTTGAATGAGGATGAGCAAAAAGGGAGCTGGGCGGATGCTCAACTTCCAGTGAATGCATCACTGTCCCACAGTTTGGTCGCCGAGCGATTTCCAGTACCTTTCTGAGTAGGCTTTGTAATATGGTTGTCACGATACTAAAATATTCAACTGGATACAGATACTCAGGAAAATATTCGATATTCGATCCCACAAGGATAAAAACAAAGACCCCAAAATTTAACTGAATTTTGACAGGTTAGTGTCTTTGGTTTCAAACTGACCTGTTACTGATGTTATGGTGGCCCACATTAATGACCCTAATCCTAACCCTAACCCTAACCCTAATCCTAACCCTGACCATAACCCTGACCATAACCCTAACCCTAACCCTAAACCTAAACCTAACCCTGACCCTAAATCTAACCCTAACCCTAAACCTAACCCTGACACTAACCTTAACCCTGACCCTAACCCTATAACCCGAAACCTGATTCTAATCCTAACCCTAACCCTAACCCTGATTTTAACCATAACCCTCACCCTAACCCTGACCCTAACCCTAACCCTGACCCTAACCCTGACCCTAACCCTGACCCTGACACTAACCCTAACCCTAACCCTAAGCCTTCATAATTGTGAGAAATAAATATTTTTTGGTTAAACTTGTTTGGACTTATTGTACAAACCTATTTAACATCCACTATTTTAACATAATATTGTGGATAGAGTTTCATTCAGTGTTTGCAAGATTCATTTCACTATTTTTAAATCATTGTCTTTATTGCCATGAAGCAATTAGAATTTTCTTGCCTGGGATCTTCCTATTGGTGACCTAATCAAAATGGCCGACTTGGATGTGGGCGGAGTTTGATATGTACTTGACTATTATTTGTTATTATTAGCCATTAGCCGCTGCTAGCAATTCAAGGCTAGCGTCTTGTTAATGATCATAAACAACGTAAATAAATACATAAATAAATCAGAGAGAGGGGGGGTATCATCGATACTTTAGAAAATGAGTATCGTATCCGGATACAACATTTTAGTATCAATACTTTTGACAACCCTACTCCTGAGAGTAAACATGTTTCCGTTTTCAATGTGAAGTCAGAGAAAATTCACCAGCCTCCATTAAATCTGCTAATCTGAACACAGACAGATTCTTCTGTCAAAAGTCTGTGAATCCACGGTGAACACAAACCGGCTAATTATAGAAGCAGGAGGCTTTTCACAGGCTCCCAGGGGCCTTGAGATTTTTTTTATATGTACCCAGTAGTACAAACTGCAAAGATACACCAGAAAAAGAAGAAAAAAAAGCCGCCTGGAGAGTCGAACGAACAGAACATAAGACCAAAAACAAGACAACGTACGCGCGTTTCGGGTCTTTTGTAGGAAGCAAATGCAGCAAATTCAGAGTTTCACATTAAACAGATTCTGAAGAGGCTTTCAACTTTTAGCAGCTCCACAGATTTCTGCTGACAACTCCACAGATTTCTGCCTCTCAGTCTCTCTGTTTTAACTCTCCTCAAAGGCTGTGATGATACGCTGAACCGTCTTTAAAGCCATCGAACCCTAACCGAGTCCCACTGGCCACAGACGTTACTGTAACTTTAGTTTTGCTTTCTGCAACATACAGTGGGGAAAACAAGTATTTGACCCCTTGCTGATTTTGCAGGTTTGCCCACTTACAAAGAATGCAACGATCTATAACTTTAATCATATGTACATTCTAACAGTGAAAGACAGAATCCCAAAGAAAATTCCAGAAAATCACATCATATGAAT